TTTTACACCATGGCATCATGTTATAGACTGTTGTGCCAACTTTCACAATGTACTAATTTTTGGCTTGAAAAAAATAAGGACACAAAGTCCAGAGGACAAGAGTCCCGGTGTACTGGATGAGACTCTGCTCCGATTTTCTTTAGTTCTCCACTCTGTTCTCCTTGCTGTAGGCTTGGTTCTTAGGCTTGCTCCCCTCATGGTTACAACGTGGCTGCTGCAATTCCAGGGATGATATCCCAATTGAAAATGATCTGTAGGCACAAAAAGGAAAAGGAGCTGGCTTTCTTATTTTTGTTTTGGGGAGTAAGGACCTTTCCCCAGAATTCCCCTGCCCACGGTCACACACTCATGCCTGAATTGTTTACTGGCCTGGGAAAATGGGCCGCCACATGGACACAGAGCTTGGGGAGGGAGAGGACAGGGCACCTCTACAAAATCAGGTTCTCTTTTTAGAAGAAGAAAGAGGGTTGTGTGTGTAAATGAACGTTGGATAATTTCTAATGTCTTTTGCTGCAATACCAAGCAGACATGGAAGTCACATCCTTATGCCTTCATGGAAATATTTATTCAAATTTGAGAGCCTCCAGGTTCTTGTGCCAAACTAGGTCCAGGAAGTGACATCCTTATCTAGGAGGAGCCATCAGAGTCTATGCTCAGTGTCTCCATGGCTGGGACACAGAAAACCTGGGTCTCTACTTCACCCAACTGATTCATGCAGCTTTCATCCCAAAGAGGGGTGTTGAGTTGCTGTTGTGAATTCTGGGCTGGAGACACAGAGGTAAAGAAGAATACATTCTTGCTCTTGAGGAACTTAGCCATTTAATAGTGAACAGAAAAGGTAAATAAATCATTGCAATGGGAGTGAAACATGCTTTGATAGTAGTTCAATGAGAGTACAGAGAAGGGCGCTCTAATTAATTGCTCTTCCAACTCCTGATTACTTACTTCCCTTCCACAAAGGCATACATCCCATCCCAATGCCCGATGTCCTCAGCAGTTCAAAACTGAGCAGCTAATGGATGCGTCCATTTATGCTGTGGATACTATGATGTCACTAGCTATTTATATTGAAACTGCAATTCCCAACTATCCATTGTGACGATTCTATTTTAGGAGCTGGGTTCTGTTCACCCTGCTGTGTAGGAGGTCTTGATAAGCTGGGTGCTGTTTTGGGAATGGAGCCAAATGCTAATAAATTAATACACTTACTAACCTGACAGGGTTCCTAGCATCTTGTCCAAACCTCTGTACATAACCATCTACCTGTCCTTCATCTGTGAAACTGGTGCTGAGATTTAAAAGGTGAATGTGATTATGGCCTCCTAAAGGGCTTATAGCTAAAATATGCCCTGAGCAGCACTATCTATCACTTAGAATGTGGACATTTATCTGTGGTTGAAATCTCCACCTTCTATTTTACTGTCTTCCTGTCTCTAGAAAGATGACTTCCTGCTCTGAAGCTACGGATATGATGTATTTCTGTGTATGGGAGTGTTGTGTTTTCCAGAGAATCCAGCATCAAATTCAATAAGGAAGCCAATTTAATCAACATGTAATTTGATCACCTGGCGCAGTTACACCTGTTTTAGATTATGAATCTTAAAATGGATAGATTATTTTGTTTGAGTAGTATCATTCAATTTAGACATCTCCCTCATATTTTTGTGTTTAAAATGAAACAATATTTTTAGGTATAAATATTTGATAGTAAATGAATCAGATGGTAAATTTATGTGACAAACTATTCCTGAATGTACCAGTGATATAAAGATACTTATTTATTGAGACAGCCACCTTTAATTTTTATTCTCTTAAAGTTCAAACTTTCTTTTCTTTTTTTTTCTTTTTTTTTAAAATATATTTTATTGATTTTTCAGAGAGGAAGGGAGAGAGATAGAGAGTTAGAAACATCGATGAGAGAGAAACATCGATCAGCTGCCTCTTGCACACCCTCTACTGGGGATGTGCCCGCAACCCAGGCACATGCCCCTGACCGGAATCGAACCCGGGACCCTTCAGTCCACAGGCCGATGCTCTATCCACTGAGCCAAACCGGTTTCGGCCAAACTTTATTTTCTTAAAACACTCTAGTCTATCATCCCTCAGCCATCTCTATCAAGTGGTGCCTCCCCAACCAGCACTGTTTCCTACCATGCACCTATACCTTCCGACAGGTGTTTATTTTTATTCTTATGTCTTTACCAGCCCGCCTGTTCCCTTAGTGCAGTGGTTCTCAACCTCTGGCCCTTTAAATACAGTTCCTCATGTTGTGACCTCAACCATAAAATTATTTTCATTGCTACTTCATAACTGTAATGTTGCTACTGTTATGAATCGTAATGTAAATATCTGATATGCAGGATGGTCTTAGGCGACCCCTGTGAAAGGGTCGTTCGACCCCCAAAGGGGTCGCGACCCACAGGTTGAGAACCGCTGCCTTAGTGTGTCCACCTACCAGGGCAGGGCAGGGCCAGGACGGTGCCTGCCATGACACGAAGCAGATTTCCAATAAGTATGTGCTGACTTGAGGGATAAAGAGATAGACTTTATAAACCAAAATGAAGGGTCTGAAAAGGTCTAAGAAGTCTTTTCTGTTAGTGGAGCTCTGTTTCCCCACTGCGGGAGGGAAGGGCATTTCGGGAAGGAAATGAGGACCTGAACTTCTGGAACTAGACAGCCACACGTTCAAGTTGCTGGGCCCAATGCAGGTTAACATCTGGAGTCCCAGCCTACTTCCTGCTACATCGTCCTTCACCGCCCAGTGCCCCAGCCTGGGAAGGATTAAATCCATCTCCAGTCACGGGCCTTTGTGAGTCAGATGCAAGTTACAGAGCCTTTGCCTAGAAAAAGTGCACTAGTGTGCGCACAGTTCCAGCTTTGAGGACCTGCAGCGATGCAGGCGGCCCCTTTGACTTGCAGCCACGCTCTCAGAAGCTGCACTTCTTTGTAACTGATCTCAGAGCTGTGGAGAAAGAAAAAGACCTGAGGGTAACCGAGGATCCGAGAGGCCACGTGGACGTGCTGACAGTTGGCATGAGGCTGGCACCGGCCGGGTGGCCAGTGGTGCTCACGTGGTTCTGAGATAATGCGAGGCCATTAGCGCTAAGGCCACACGGAGCTGAGTTCTTTGCTGGGATAGGAAACCTTAGACCTATCCTTGGACTGTGGCAGAGTGCAGAGAGCAGAACACCAAGGGCACGTTGCACGGGCTTCCCGTTGTCTCTTCCGATCGCCTCTGCTCTGGAGGAAGACAAGAGGGAAAAGTGTCCTGATGAGATTAGACGGCGCACAGAGAGAGAGAGAGAGAGACAGATAAATGACAGGTTACAGCAGGGACGCAGAGGAAGCAGCAGTGAACCACAGCACTGAACACTTCATACGCTGGAGTTCACTGCCTTTGTTCAGTCGCAGATCCAGCAGCCACTCCGAGTGACTGTCACACTGTGTGGAGCAAACGCAGAGAGAGCCCGGGAGCCAGGTGTCTCTTCCAGGTCAGACAGAATGGAGCGGATGCTTTGTGAGTCAGATACTCAATAAATGTTTTTTGGGAGTGTGGGTGAAGAAATAAAAGCAAGATTCCAGAGCCAAAGATAAAAACTGGGATGCCTGGAGACTTTGTTTTGTTTTTCTGCCAATGGTTTACAGAACAGAAATATTAGTGTGTATAACTGTAGTATTATGAGTAGGGAAATGAGTTATAGCATACTAGAGGGCCTGGTGCACGAAATTCGTGCATTGGGTGGGGGTCCCTCAGCCCAGTCTTGCCCTCTCACAGTCTGGGAGCCCTTGGGGGGATGTCTGACTGACGGCTTAGGCCCGCGGGAGCCCCCTGAGTGCACTAATGTCATGCACCAGGCCTCTAGTGAAGGGTATAATATAATGTCTTTGTTAATCATTGAAATCTCTAAAATATGGTATATCTTGTCTTCCTGGTACACATGAGAAGGAAATTATTTCATATTTCTTTGAGGTCTTTTTGAGGGGAAGGGAAGAATAAATAAAAGCAAATTTGTCCTTTTGACAGTAGAAAAGTGAATGGTAACTACACCAGACATGACCATGACTGAATTGCTTCCCTTTGCCCCAGTATCTAAAGAAATAGGCTCATCATTCTGATAGGTCTGTGTTTAAAGTGAGGACTTGAACTCTATGCAACAGCTAAATAACTTAGAAATGTGTAATGAAAAGCAGGCTTTTCCATCGAGTAAACTGTTCTTTCTTAAACACCATTGTGTGTTTTTAAACTCAAAGGCTGGGGGAAGACTTAGGGACAGATTTTTCTGAGGACTGAGTAAAACACTAGAGAAGCCAAGGCTCTGTGATGAGGAACCTATTGAACCTATAGAATTTCTCTGAGGCTTCAAAACGAGTCCATTGCATATTGAAGTTGGTGTTTTCCTATCATCTCACAGCGTTTTAAAAATAGTCACTCTGTATGCGGCCTTTTATGCATGGTCGCGCCCAATAACTTCCTTACCAAGGGTTGGACATTCTTAGCTATGACCCACGAGTTCCACCAAAGTATGTCTTTTGTTGTATTGTGAGATTTTATGTAATGCTACAAAGATTGGTATACGAGAAATTTTACTTCTATTTCATAGAGATTTCTAGTTAATACTGTATTTAAAATTGACCTTTGTTTATTAAATAGATCCTTAGAGGAGAATAGTGCTCCTAAATCAGGAGGCCTATTGGGCTTGAGAATTAGGTAAATATTCATGTTTGCTCCTGAGTATTTTGGATCATTATTTCCTGTACCTGCTGCATTTCCAGCCTAATGCCTTTGAAGTTCTGATTGCTAATTAATTGAGGCTTTTTTTTTTCTTCAGGAGATTCAATGTTGTTAATTAAAAGTTTAAATGGTTTTTCTTATCCGTTGGAACTGGAAGTAGATTTGGTGCAGGGACCACAATTTCAATTTATTTAAATGACAGTAATTGCAACATTGCCAGGTATTTGCTTGCTTGTTATTTATTTTGGCTTTTTCTTTCTACAGAAAGTTGATGTGGAAAAATGGGTACGTGTTTCCATGGATTTGCAAAGGAATTGTGATCTAAACACATGCACGTTTGCTGTTGCCTCTAATATTTTTTGTGTGGCTTCCTGGTGTGGCTTGTACTATTAGTTTTCACAATAACTGCTGTGTTGTACTGAACAAATATGAACAGGTCTCTAGTTAGAACCTTGTGTATGGTTTGGTTCAACTGAACTGGGGGATATGAAAATGTTCTCCACCCGCCCCGCCCCCTCACCAGAACTATATAGTTTCTCTGTAATTGGCTTTCTAATACAATGCACTTTGGTCAACAGGAGGGCTTTTAGTACATCGCATCACAAATCTTAACCTTAAAGTCCTACTGCATAGCTCTTATGGTTTCCCACATACAATAGAGACCGGCGGTTACACATATGTGTACAACCTTGAAAGGTGAAGGTGATGGTCAGTGACATGAGGAAAGGACTCATTTGCAGGATTTTGGACGCTGAGTTTGGGACAGCGGTGTGATGTGGCCAGTTCCATTATTACTATGGTACTATGGTCTGTTTCCTCCTCTATTAAGAGCCAGAGACAGGGAGGGGGGAAGAAACAGGTAGAATTTGTTACCTGTTTCTATCCTTGAGTGTCACAGAGAACAACTTACCTCCTGCTCTCTCTGTGTGTGTGTGTGTGTGTGTGTGTGTGTGTGTGTGTGTGAGAGGAGGGCTCTCCTCTGTCCCCTGCGTTAACATAGGCTGGGCCTTTCTCAGATTCAGACATGAAATTCCCCAAGTCATTTCAAGTCACACAAGTCTCATTTTGGTTATTAAAATGCCCAGCCCGGTGCTATAGGAGGATCCGAATTGAACTCAAGTTAACTTGTCTCCATAGCTCAGGCCTCTCCAGGCTGGAGGCCTGCAGGTGAGGGGTGAGGAAGGGGCGCCCACTCACTCCCACATCCCCACCCAGTTGTTTCTGATTTAGTTATTCTCTCCAGATAAACTGGAGGAAGAAGGAAGCCCAAGGCAGCTCTCCTGCTCATACTTTAGGATTTCATGCAGCCCAGTGATAGATACACATGTCCCAAGAATAAAGGCTGAGGATTGCAGTGGCTTATCAGGCCAGTTTATTTTTCTTTTCCTCTAAAAGAGAACTAGACAACTCTATGCATGTATGTCAGATCCATTGCACTCAAAAGAAAAGACAGTCCAGTTAAACATTGTCTGTGCAGTGTCGATAGCTTGAAAACAACAACAGCTACTACCAATCTGCCCCCCGCCCCCCCAAATTGTGAGTTCTTCTTAAAAACACCAGCGTGCTAGCGCTGGTCATGAGTGTGCGTGATGCGGGGCAGGGCCTCGGGCTGTGTCATTGAATGTGCAGGTGGCAGCCCAGCTCCTTTTAGATGCTCTGGGGCCGCTCTGCACAGTCTATCAACAGAGCACTCTTGGGTCTTGTCAGTGGGAAGCCTAGAAAAGAAAGCATTTCTATGGGATTTAAAAAAATCTTCACCTAAGGAAATGCTTTGTATTGAATTTTAGAGAGAGAGGAAGGGAGAGGGGGAGAGAGAAATAACAGTGTATCCTTGAGTGTCACAGAGAACAACTTACCTCCTGCTGTGTGTGTGTGTGTGTGTGTGTGTGTGTGTGTGTGTGTGTGAGTGAGACAATAGATCACACTCCAAGCAACTGAGCCATGCAGCCAGTGCTTCATGGGGTATTTTTTTATCAGAAGACAAATATTTGAGTTTCTCTACAAATGTATATTCAGATACCCTGTTGGATAGTATATTTTGACATATGCTTACAACTTGAAATTGTTAATAGTAAATGTCTTTTGTTCTCTGAAATTTGTTAGGAGCACCAATAATCATCATTAATCTCAAACAGCCACCAAACCCAAGTCTTTGTTGGTGAAATACCTTTTTTTGTCAACATGATGAGGTTGAACAGATTATCCTCCCTCATAAGGACAGGTTACCAGACAATGACCTCCTGACATCATTTACCATTGATATCAGTTTTAGATACATAACTAAACAGCCTCTATTTTCTAATCTTAAAATGAAATGATCCTTTACAATTTTTTCCTTAAATTTTAATATTAAAAATGGAAGCCTGGCTGGTGTGGCTCAGTGTTGAGTGTCAACCTATGAACATGCCCGTGTTGGAGGCTCCATCCCCAATGTGTGATCGTGCAGGAGGCAGCCATTCAGTGATTCTCTCATCATTGATGTTTCTATCTCTCTCTCTTTCTCCCTTCCTCTCTGAAGTCAATAAAAATATATTAAAAATGAAAAAATCAGTCACAATAGAATGCCACTCATGTACATATCACTATGTTTTTATGTTTCAGGGAACTAACTGGTACCTATAAGTATGTAGGTTGAAAACTTGCTATTTTCTATAAAACTAATGTGAATACGTGTATCTTTTCTCTGTAGGACTTGGATGCTTATGACAACTAAACGTAGTCCTAAGTTTGGAAAAGTAATGCCATTTTCCTTCCTAGTTCTTTTTTTTATCTGTCTCCGAGGAATAGGTCAAGGAAACTCGATGGGCCTAAAAGAAAACGAGGGAATATATGCACATATTATGTTTTGTAGAAGAAAAAGGAGCTATTATAAGTCATGAGAAGAGGCTGTGTCATTTTAAGAGCAAAGCTTCTGTGATATTTTCTTTGGGTTTGGGAAGGGTTCATGGTTACTATCACCTCGGCACTTGAGTGATGAACACCCTTACCTGCTTCCAGTCCACTGTTTTTACTAAAATCAGTTGCGTTGCTGTTTATATCACTGCATTTTTATGCAAAAGATGAAGTGAAATGGTTTTAAAAGCATTTTCAGAGTATAATTTTAAGATGATACCTTTGGCCTTTTTTGGCGCTTAGATATGTTGTAAACTGAAACAGGCGTCACAGTAGAGCAGCATGTTTTCACAGGAAAAGGAAGAACTAATGCAAGAACACTTGGAAAAGGAGTTTTGCTTGCTCCAGCTTTTATCTGGCATGCAGCTGATACTGTTTTGTTGTGACAACACAGTGAATGTGTTTTTGTATGTTTATTGTTCACATAACTCCATTGAGAAATCTTTATAAGTAAGAAATCTTTTAAAATGTCTTTGAAATAATATATTTAATACCTTTTCTCTTTTCTTTTGCCCCCACAGAAATTCATGATGAAGGTAAGACACTGGATCATCTACTACACGTTTTGCTTTGTACATTTCATGTTTGGTTTAAATTTTGAACTCATGGCACTTTTCTTCACATCTGAAAGTTTTAGAAATTGAATCAAACTTCAAAACTTTTAAATTTAAATGAATCAGTCACATACTTAGATTTGTCAACTTCATAAACAGCATTTGGCACCTTTGTGTCACATGCTAACATATTAGTTTAATTTAGCCAACGTTAAGAATTCTCCCATTGAAACAAACATTTTTACTCGTTCTCTAATTAGCATTTTCACTGCGGGTATCCTACTGGCTGTTGTTGGTGTGATGCTCTTGCATGAATCCAGTAGGAAATTGACACTCTGGGAATTGAGAAGAAGCACCAAAAAGTTGCTAGAGCATTTCTTCCTCCAGGAGACAGGAAAATAAATCAACCTCTTTTCATTTTCCAACCCATTGGAAAAACAGAAAGGTTTGAAAAGGAGGCAGAGCACATGGTCATGGCACTGAAGGAAACGTAGAGGAGGAGGAGCAGAATGTCAGTATTTGGGACAAAAAGTAGAAGGCTTTGGTTTCAGTTTTAAGTACCTACTTACTACTTTTCTCATATAACAATCACAAAACTTTGATTTTAAGTCAGGAAACAATGTATAGAGAAACTTACTGTATTTAGTTAATAAAGGCTTAATATAGTTTAAAATTTCAAAAGAATATAATTTCAAAAGATGCCAACTCTGAAAAATGTTAATTCAAAATTCTGGTGTAGATGTGAGAGGCTGCATACTCTCAGACAGTAGACACCCATAAATATATATGTATATATTTTAATTCTCACCTGAGGATATGTTTTTATTGTTTTGAGAGAGAGAGAGAGATGAGAGAGGGAGAGAGAGAAACATCAATGTGAGAAATATCCATCGATTGCCTCTCATAGGCACCCAGACTGGGATTGAGCCGTAACTTGGATCAGTCCTGACCAGGAATCGAACCCACTACCTTTCCTTGTACAGGATGAGGCTCCAACCAACTGAGCCATACCGGCCAGAGCCGCTCATAAATGTTTTTTGAATGAATAGGAAAGAGTGTTTCTTATGTCTAGTATTTATGGAGAATTACAGGCCTAAAGTATGGGTGGCATTAATGGGAACTGAAGGCTTATTTATATTATGTAAAATACAATTTCCTAATTCTCCTTTTAATTGGTGCAATTGACTGCTTTGCTCATATTTTAGATTCCAAAGAACAGTTAACATATTACCTTCCAGAATCACCAAGATTTTTTTTCAAGTGTAATCTTGAAGGCAGGCCAGCCTCGAGCTTGCTTCCCCATTAGCTTGATTGACTCTTATCTAGTTGGTCCTGGCTGGCTTCCCAGAGGTCAGTGTGGTCAGAGCATCGTGTGCTTACAGGGTGGGTTTGGGCGCTGGAGGGAAAGGGGCCTGCTCCAGAGGACTGAGTTACTGCTGCTTGGATGCAGCTGTCGCCCAGTGGTGACGGTCATCTCCTCACTGAGACTGCGCAGGGGGCGTCCGCACCCCCCGGAAACAGGGCTGCACAGTCTTGAAGGAGTAACCCCAGAAGTGGTGACCATCTCCCTACAGTACCAAAGTTCAGAGGAAGTCCATGCACACAGGTGGGCAACAGTAGGTTTAGGGTTGTTCTTATGGGAAACAATACAATAATTAATAAATAATAATGCAAGAATAAACTGTTTGTGTTCTCACAACTGTAAACCTACCTTGCCCACCCTGTGTTTAATCACGTAAAGAAGGACCGGCCACATTTAACAAGAAAATTGACATGATGCACCAAATTAAAAAACACAGGAAAGAATAAATCATCCCTTAGGATTCATCCCCACACACAATTCTTTTGATAAACGTTTGTTGAATCAATTGAGTTACCCAGTCGGCCCAAGAGTTGAAATTACATATTTTTAAATTTTTTCAGAAACGGAGTCAATTAGATGAATGTCATGTAAAATGACAAGTTAGAAGAAAAGTACTGTAGCGCATGTGACAGAAATTGCATCCCTTTGTGGTAACTAAGTTAATTAGTAACAATTAATTTAGTGGGGATTATGTGCATACTTGTACGAGTTCTATTAGAACTAAATCTGGCATAATTGGCATTTAAGTGGTGAGGAAATCTCTAGTTAAAATCTATAATTGTCTAATTGTGTAGAATGTATAGTTGGAAGACAATTTAGACACTAAAATGTCTCCTCTTAGCTTAACCAATTTGAACATTTATACATTCATACATATAAACATATGAAATGCGTGGGCAGAACTTTACAGTAAAAGGAGCACTCCATCATTTTTGGTTAAATCTTCGTTTTAAAATTTTTGTTGTGATGGATGTGACTGTCAGGAAAGCTCAGCTGGATTTCATACCTTTGGAGCTTGTATCTCCTGTGAAAGTCAGCTCCTGCCACTGCAACCAGATCAGTCCAGGTCGGTGAATTATCCTTGGCCGCAAAGTCACGTGTAGCACAGAATATGCAAGTGCTTCCTATAGAGGGCCTCGCTCTGAGGAGGAACATCATTTTACAAAGTAGATTCCCCCCCCCTTTTCCCCTCAGTATGTGGAAAAGAGATTTCCTTTTGTTTTAAAAGCAGTTTTTTAAATAATTTTAATAAATTTTAATATTGATTTTTAAGAATGGTTCTGAGGCCTTTCAAGCATGATATGTGAAGTTATTTTAAGAAATTATTTGGAACAATATGAAGGGATATATTTATAGTAAGAAAGGTATAATAGTATTGATATTAAAGACTCCACACTTCTTAAGGTATACATATGTGTGTGTGACACACACCCCCACACACACATATATACATATATATATGTCAATATCACCAATCTCACCCTTAAAATCCTTAAAGACAGCCTTCTCCTTCAAAAAATTGTGCACACTTCTGGGCTTAACTGTATCTCTCCTGTTCAGTTTCTGCCACCCCCATCTCCAATCTGTGGTCCCCTCTTTTTTAACACCTGGACTGTAAACCATGACACCTGACTCCCACCCCCACCAGGTGGATGGGGCGCCCACGTCGTTTCTCATTCCTCTCATGTTTATTGAGTGCTTTGTGCTGAGAGCTCACGTCCCTGTCGTGGAGTTCACAGTCTGACCCAGAAGAGAATGGTGCTCACTTTGTGGAGTGGTTAGACCAGGTGCCAGGTGTACCTGGGGCTGCAGGAGGCTCAGGGAGCAGCCAGCTGAGGAAACCGGAGGAGGCTTCCTGGAGGAGGTGGCCTGGAACTGAGTTTGAAAGTGCAGTTTATAAGGTAGAAAAGACCAACTTCTCTGTTCACCCCAGACCTGCTGAGTGAGTCACCGGGATGGCCCAGGAGTCTGTGCTTCCGCTGCCTCTCGGGGACTCATGTGCACGCTCACATTTGAGAAGCATTTCTCTAGTTCGTGGAAGGGAATTTGGACTCTTTCCTAGAAACCTTTGGGAGGTAGGAAAGGTTCTAAGCCTGGGGATGACTTGATCAGTTTCGCCTTTTTGGAAGGCTCATTCACTGAAAAATGCTTAGTCCTTACGTGTGCCATCACCTGGGCACAGTAGTGACCAAAGAGCCGAAGGTCCCTCCCGATGCAGCCCACATGCCGTGGGAAATAAGGACAGTAAATATCTGTGATCAGTATCACCCGTCATGCCGAATGTTTGCTCCCAGAGCCAGGGCACCTGCGCACCCACGGCGCAGGCTGCATGGAACCCGTTAGTCCACGCGAGCATCTTCCCACCGCACGTGGTTGTCTGCAGTAGCTCTTACCTTTTCCTGGAGAACACGGGGACTTTTGATTGACTTCATTAAGTTTTGGTTTTTCTTCTCTTGTCGACCCTGTCTTGTTCCTCGCAGACTGCTCAAGGGGGTGGTCATCGGACACTCCTCTACGGACACGCCATCCTGCTGCGCCACTCCAACAGCGGCATGGTGAGCAGCGCCATTCCATCTGCGGTGGTCGGGAAAGTGAGGCCGCTGTGCCTTTAAGATCTGTACCCTGCTTAGTCCTCCCACTGATAAGATGAGGAGTAGCTTGGGTGACCTTTAAGGTCCTTCAATTCTGTCATCGTATGACCCCTGTTTTTAGTATCTCACTTTTGATAGACCAGTTAAGTGTTAAGATTAAAATAAGAAGCTTTTCTCATTCCTGGTATTGTTTTAACAGTTTATTGAAGAATTAAAGTATTTTTACTGAAAGATAATATAAAAATCTCCTGTGAGTTGCACTGTCACTTTTCACCAGCTTCCCTCCTTCCTGACTAGATGTCTCTCTCTTTCTCCTCATCAGCTCCTTCTTGCACCCAGGCATCCACGTGACCCCTCGAGCCCCTCGCAGGCTGTGTCCCCTGGTTCACTACATACATGCGTTCTATGTGCTTATGTCCACATTTCACTGCTCCTAGGAGGCCCTGCATGTGCTGTCCCCCTCACTGGGAAAACCGGGCCTTCGCCCAGAAGCACCCAGATTTCACTCTGATACCAGAGCGAGTCAGAATTGCACTGGGTGGGACTATAACCGTGTAGTGACAGCTGCTGCTTCTGTGTCCTTTAGTACCTGTGCTGCCTGTCCACCTCCCGGTCTTCAACTGACAAGCTGGCCTTTGACGTTGGCTTGCAAGAGGACACAACAGGTGAGCTTTGATCATACGTATTGTGCACTGGGTGGCTTATGAAGTATTACTGCATGTCTTTATTGTTTTCCATCTTAAAAATAATTTTAAGTCTAAAAATGTAATATACCCAGTGTCCTCATCCAAGCAAAAAGGTAGAAAATGAGTCTTCTTCATGTCTCTGTCACAGGGCATTGACCCACATATCTATCCAAACAGATGTATGTTTACGTATTTTTGAAACAAAATGTATATATTGACACATTTATTCTTTTGGAGAATCAAGATAGGAGAACATAAGCTTTATTTGTGTTTTTGTTCTCAATGCTCTGACTCTACACTTCATATACAATTTGACTATTTTATCTTTTACAATAAGCATACATGACTTTGGGAATTAAAAAATAAATAAAAGACCTAGTAGAGAAGAGAATGGAAGGAAATAGACCAACTCTTATCAAGTTGTTCCTTTCATGGGTGGGATCAAGCGGTCTTTCCCTTTTTTTTTCTTCTTTTTAAAAAAAATATATTTTATAGATTTTTTACAGAGAGGAAGGGAGAGGGGTAGAGAGTTAGAAACATCGATCAGCTGCTTCCTGCACACTCCCCACTGGGGATGTGCCCGCAACCAAGGTACATGCCCTTGACTGGAATCGAACCTGGGACCCTTCAGTCCGCAGGCTGATGCTCTATCCACTGAGCCAAACCGGTTAGGGCCACTGTTTTCTTTTTAAAATACTTTCCTATAGTCTAAATTTTTCACAGACTACAAATGGATTAAAATAAAGCTATATTTACCAACTTAAGTTTTTAATAGACCAACATATTGCCTTCTTCATGAAATTCCAAGAATCCCAGGCACCAAAAAGATAAATGTATTATTATTTCTATTTCATTTTATTTGGGCTCAGCCATTTCTCTGTATTTTTGCTAGTTTTTTTTTAAGTTTTATCATTATAATTCCTTTACTTCAGCACACAATTACATGAAACATTCAGTTCTCTCTTCCAAAAAAAGTGCAAGGCACACACAATATGTAAGTTGTTTCATACATTGAGACGACTACAAAATATCAAACTACAGGCCGTCTCTCTCCTGCACCAGGTGCCTTATGCCCCTGTTCCCCGGAGCTCACTGCTGCTTCTGAGTTACTTATATTTACCGTTAGTCCTGTGTGGCTTTTATCAGAACTAAACTCACAGGCAGATGATATGTCTTCCTCGTTTATTGATGTATCCCCAGCTGCTAAAGCAATGATGGACCAGTAGTGGGCGCTTTATAAATATTTGAGTGAATGAATGAAAAATTCCTTACAACTCTAAAAATGTGAATTGAGTGAGTGAAGACCAGGAATTCTGCAAAGTGACATTCAAGTAAGACTGGTTTGTGTGAGAAAAGCTGCTCAGAGCACAGATTACCTATTAACTGTAAGCACGCTTAAGAAATTCCCCGGCCTGTGTGGCCCAGTGGTTGAGCGTCAACCTGTGAACCAGGTCATCACGGTTGGATTCCATCAGGGCACATGCCCGGGTTGCAGGCTTGATCCCCAGTGTAGAATGTGCAGAGGGCCGCCGATCAGTGAGTCTCTCTCATAACTGATGTTTATCTTTCTCTCCCTTCCTCTCTGAAATCAATACAAATATATTAAGAAAAGAAATAGCATTTGCTGATTCATTTACTCAGTTATGCAAAATGAATTTTTATTGAGTGCCAGAGCATTAAAAAGAAAAATGCTAGCATCCGGGGAAACCCCGGTGAGCCAAACATGGAAGGCCCTGCTGTTAGGGGACCTACATTCTGGCATTGGGGAATTAGAAAGAAGAAAAGTGTTATGGAAAATGAGAAAGCTGAGCAAAGGGAGAGAATCAAACTATTAGATAACAAGTCACTAAAAATATTCTCATTTTTGGATGAGAATATTAGAATGTTTTGGATAGAATTTGCATTTATATTTAAAAGGAAGAATGACCAGACTGAGGGATTATGTGCTAGTTTGTGTCTTAGGTAACAGCAGTGAAGAATGAAGACTGGGCGGCTTAAGCATGGCTCGTTCCAGGAGGAATTATTTGATTACACCCAGCTATTTTTATAATACGCCCGTCTATAATGGGGTTCTCTTTTATGTTACACTTAGATTAATAGAAAACATTTTTTAAATCACAAAATAAATTAAGGCACAGGATAGTAAAATTTAGATAACAGTTGTGCCCATTTTAAATCAGCATCCCCCAGAAAGTAAATTGTTATAATGTCACATCATAAAACTCCAAGTCCTTCTGAAAACCAACTGGCGAAAACTAGATGTCATCACAGAGTAACATGAACAGTGTACACCATACGCTTTTGTAAAGAATGAAGTCAGGTCGGCACGACCGGTGAATTTCGCCTTATGCAGCATAAAGATCATTTTAAACCAATTCTTAACAGGGGGAAAGACACCAAACTTCCCAAACCGTCACAACCAGTTCTATGACAAGCTGTATGTTTCCATGTGTCTTATCCTAAGCTAATTGGCCTACTTCTTTTTATTTTCACGGTCTAAGAGATTAAGTTGCGTTATAATTCAAATTCCTGAAGGTGGAGTGAACAGAACAAATTTCTGTTAAGGAGACTGGCTGTGAAGACTTCTTTTACTTCCCTCTTTCATGTGGAGTCACCGGCAAAGCATGTGGGTTTTGCACTAAGAGGCTGCTCTGTGTTGCTCACCCCTCCCGCAGGCGAGGCTTGCTGGTGGACCATACACCCCGCCTCCAAGCAGCGGTCCGAGGGAGAGAAGGTGCGCGTCGGCGATGACCTCATCTTAGTGAGTGTGTCCTCCGAAAGGTACCTGGTAAGTGTGGAGAGCAGGGCACGGACTTGCTGAGGTGATGCATGAAGGTCAATAAAACAGCCTCTTTAAAGTGTAGATCGCAAATTATCCAGGAGACTTGCTTAGAAACAAGCCTGTACCTCTATTTGATGAGAGAGCGATAACTCCCCAGGGCTGGTGTGCCCTGCCCTGGGTGCCCCCTTCCGTGTGCCCCATCCTGCCCCCATCCTGCCCTGTTCTGACCCTGGTGCCTCTTCCTGGACTCTCACTGACGCACTACACACAGTCCGATCAGGAATTCAGAACTGGGACTCTTCTGCACCCGGCGAGAGGGCTGCATTAATGAGGTTGTGACCACTGATTTGGATATTTATGAAAGAAAATTCGTATATGAGAAATACTTGCCACGTTAAGAGAAACAAAATAAAAACAAGTTGAGGTCTCATTGACATTGTTTCAAAGAGTAGAGGGTGACAGTGGGAAAATGAAAAAAAGTTTATGTTTAATCATTGAAGGCATTTTTTATTTTGTGGTAAGGCCAATATATATTCAATTGAACTTACTAGTATTTAGTGAATTGTATTTTTGCTAAAGAATAATCATTTGCAGAAGTTTGCAGATTGAAATCAATGGAAGTGAGAGATTCCAGTGCAAAATATTATGATATTTAGAAAGGTTATTTTCCATCAGCCTGGTTTCCATTTTGTTTAAGAGTGACATGCCTATTTTTGTGGGTGCCTCGAGAATAGCATATTCAGGTGAGAGAACCCGTGGGTGTGAAGGCCCATGGAGCTCCCCAGCATGACAGTCCTGCTGCGACTTCATGCCCCTCATCCAACTGGGAGGGTTGGTTTCCGGGCAAGTTCAGGTACGATGGGATCTTTGAAAGCTGAGGCTGTCATCTGTCACCAGCATTGGAGAAGTGATGTTTGCTGAGATGACCCCAAGAACACAGTGTCTGTCTGCAGTTCTAGCGGAGCCAGGTGGTAAAATAACCGAGGCCATCTGCTGTAAAATTCTAGAGTGGTTTCATAATTTTTCTTTTCTTTTAGTTTCAGAACTCATATATTATGGCTCTTAAAATATTAAATACGATATTTGACACATTTTTATTTTTAAGAAGGAAATCTGAAATTTGTACTATCTGAATTGTGGAGAAAATGTGTTTGTCTTGGTTTTAGATACCTATTAGAAAACATCGCCATCGAATGGCTATTGTGTCAAGTTGCAGATAAAAAGTTCATAACCTCATAAAATAAGACATTGGTTCTATAGATCTCACCTGCATTGTTGTAAAAAGACACCACAGTGTGATAGGTAGACAACTTATAATTCTAATGGTAAGTACCCACTATCTGTATAACCTTCTTCATCGGTAGGCCTTAAAACAAAATAGTCTGCTTTAATGAATCAGTTTATTTTAGTGTATTCATTTGTTTTCTGATTAGTGGCTTAAGTTAGTAACTCTTAGAATGAAGATGGGAAATACCTAAAGACAAATAGAAACTAATCTTTTTCTACCGGCCTCTTCGTTTTGAGTGACAGGGCTGACATAGATGCTCCGTGTGTGCAGTTCCAGTCTGTGTTGGGTGTGAGTGGGCAGAAGCACGTGCGTGCTGGGCCCGCCCGCAGCCAGGCAAAGCCTCTTTGTGTCCCTCTCCGCAGCACCTGTCCTATGGCAGCGGCAGCAGCAGCCTGCACGTGGACGCCGCTTTCCAGCTGACGCTCTGGAGCGTGGCCCCCATCAGCTCAGGAAGTGAAGCGGCCCAAGGTACACCCCTCTTCGGGGAGGGCTCATCCGTGACCCCGAGCTGGCTCTTAGCCAGAGCTTGTGTCAAACTATTCTGTAAATTAGGTGATGACACCCAAGATTCTCGTTTAAATTGCTACTTGTATGCTGTGGTCAGCTTCAGTTTATCTGTGTGGCTTTCTGTGCCGGCTTCCTGGGGGCTGCTGCCCCGGGGTATTGCTCAGTTAGGCGGATGTCCAGGTTTCCCATCTTCTGGGGCAGGTGGCTTGGAGGGGGGGTCCCAACAATGCCTATGCATCAGGGTTTCCGGGCCATCTGCGTTTGTTCTGATTACTGTCACCTGCACAGGTTCAAGTCCGAGCCTATCCCTGCATGTATGTTTAAGGGAGGATTTTACGGGGTTGAGGTGGTATTTCCAGTGGGAATGTCACTCACTCTGGGGCTCCGAGGCTCAGGCCCAACAGCAGCAGGCAGGTGGAACCATCCCTCTCTGAGATGTGGCCAGGAGCGCAAGCCTTGCGAGACTCCTGGTTCTCTGTCTAAGAACATAGAAGATTGGACCAGGTGAACTGTCCAGCTACCACGTGAGCATGACAGCTGAGCTAGACCGAGTTTCATCCTCACAGGGTACCTGATTGGCGGCGACGTCCTGAGGTTGCTGCACGGACACATGGACGAGTGCCTCACCGTCCCCTCCGGGGAGCATGGGGAGGAGCAGCGGAGGTGGGTGAGCCTGGCGCCCTAAGCCTTGATTTTCTTGCCTTGACATAATTTTTTAAATTAAGGAAATGCCTGTTCAGGCCGTTAGCATAAGAGAAAGTGGGCCTCTAACATTCATCTGTCCCCTGAATGACCCATTTGTTGGCCTCCTTTGCAGTTTTTCCTTGTGTTATGTTTTATTACCTATCAGCGGAATCGCTGAAAAAATTAAAACATGGAATAAGCATCGCATTAAACTGAGTGGGAGGAGTGAACACATTAAACAATCGACTTAGAACTTCATTAAATGTTCATTGGTTCTGATTAATTCTTTTTCTGGAACATTTAGTCTCGAATTCAGTTTCAAAATCAGATTTCTCAAATTGTACAAAAGTTGACGACCTTTTTTTTATTACCTCCATTTGCTGCCATAGATAATAGAACTGACCACGTTCCTCATATTTTATGTGATTATAATACCTCTCTCATGTTAATATTATTTGGCATTAGACTGAGATTGATGTAGTCCAGATCTCTGGGGAAAGTGCACAAATAATACAAAAACAAAAATATTTAAGATGATTTGAATGCTCTGCTTTGCCTCATGAATTCTCAGATGAATCTGATAAGGTTAATACATAAACAAGGGATCACTGCGAGAGCAGGTGTCGTCTGGATGATTTGTTACATGTTTTAGTTTTGAAAGGACATTTCTCATAATATTAACATACATATTTTGGTAACTTATTTAATAAACTTCTTTCTGTAACTTACAGAAAGATACAGGGAACACTTAGGAAGTTAATAATCATCAACTGGCTGTTGAGAGCAGAGGGCTGTGTGGAGATAGAAGGCCCAGGGGAGCAGGAGGTAGTGAGGACTCCGAGGTGCTGCGTGGGCTCTGGCTTCCGTGAAAGGTGGCATGTGGTGGCCCAGAGATCAGTTTGGATGTAGTGGATGATGACTTAGCGCCACTGACAAACAGTTATCATGAGGGCTTTGGCGTTTGGGTACGTGTGAAGTACCCTCAAATAAATGTTTCTGCTTTGGGTGTGTGTGCAACTTCTTGCTTATATTTATATGTTTGGTGATATTTATACTTTTCTATTATCGCTTTTTCAAATTGTTATACTAAACTATTAGAATGTGTTATACTAAAATATTAGAATGTGTTAAGTATCTAGAACAAACTTGAAAACTCTAAATATGAATGTGTTTAAATAATAATATATTAAACTACACCTAAAGTTATAGCTGAGTACTTTTAAGGACCTGAATTAAATGAGTCAGGTGAGTATATTCACGGGGGGAGATGGGGGAGGGGAGTTGGAGAGGGAATGAATGGGATTAGAGGAGAAAATGATGAGGCACGTGTTTACATCGAATGTTTATTTAGGGCAGACTTATGTGGGTCACTGTTAGTATTTTTGGTTATTTTTATTTCCGGCTCTATTGTCTTCTCCAAAAAGTATGGCTTTAACTGTTTATGCAAAGGCTTTCCATTTGCTTTTCTCTTTTAATTAGCTTGAAAAATAGAGTCCAAGAATGAAACATGTTAAAATCGGGCTTCTCTTTTTGAAAACAGAACTGTTCATTATGAAGGTGGTGCCGTGTCTGTCCACGCCCGGTCCCTGTGGAGACTGGAGACGCTGAGAGTTGCGTGAGTAGCGCCTCTGAATGCAGCCCACGTGCCACTTTCCCAGTGCGCTCGGCTGGGCACCAGCAAACACAGCGCTGACAGCGGCAGGCTCTCCTCCCTTCCTCCCTCCTGCCCGTTAGTTATCCTTCATGAGCCCCAGTTCACCAGGTGGTAGGTCAGCCGCTTTTGTCTTCAGCCTCACTGGTTTTTGTAGCATCTTCTCATCTGGTCAGTGCATCTCCCGGCACAAAATGCTGCTGGGAGCCCTCGAGGTAGGTTTGGAGATAAGCCTGTCACTCACTTCAGTCCTGGCAAGCTCTGGACTGAACCTTCTGGAAGCACCTGTGAGACGGAGGAGACCTGAACGTGAACCAGGGCACTAGACCATTCCCAGCAGTCTCTGTGTTTACTCACAAATAACAGCCGAGTCAGCAAAGGGGGTGGTAATATGAAGCTGCTGTGCATTTATTAGAGAAATAAGTTATATATATATATGCATTTGTGTGTGTGTATTTTTTTCTAGTGATTTAAAAAAGCTGTTCAGAGATTGGCTTTTAGTTCCTTTAAATAAAATGAAATGTTGATAATAAAAGCATAATTTTTAATAGAATTAAAATAAATTTTAAAAAGGATTATAAGGTTCAGTCCTTTGCCTCAAAAGCAGTAAGTTTTTAAAGTATTTGTTCTCTATTTTAAAGAAATTGTTGCTTTAGGATTACAGACTCCATGATGGGTGTAAGGAACAATCTTAGTATAGAATAGCTGTCTTTGTAGACGTACAGTTTTGAGGTTGATGCTTACCTAATAATGATTTCAGTAATTTAGTGCTCTTCGGTTGCTTTTGCTTATATATCCCAGGCAATAATCTTGAAAAACTTTGTATATCCTTGAATGTGGTAAGGTATGACATAGGACTTTTTATTACTTTAAATACATGCACAGAATATAGATTACAGTGTATTATAAGTAGTTGTCTCTATGAACAGATTCATGTAAAAATGAACTTATCGTAATATCATGGTACTGATAATTTTCAATGCTAATATCACAAGTCAAAAAACCAGTTTAGCAAAACAGCATAAATATCACTTACCGTTTACTAAAATAGAAGATTTTTCAAAAAATACCCTTAATTAGTAGACTACAATAGTTTTTAATGACTATTTTAAAACAAATTTGTTAATTGATAAAAATCATATTGAAAGCCTCCACATCTCTACTGTCTATATGGTTCATGAGGTAATGATGACTATGTGCATACTTTTTAGAGTTTATCTCATCTTTTTAAAGTACCTGACAGCATTCCCTTCATGCTTTGCCTTGAACTCTAGTTGTCTAACAGCAACTTTGTCATCACTGTTTCCTTGTGATTTTATATGCAAGGGAATTCTTTTCCACTCAGTTATTTTTGGTTTTTAGTTATTTGATTGTGCGCATGTTTCTCATCCATGATGAGAGGCTGTCCTTGCTTTGCAAAGAGCCACTTGGTGTCATGCATCTGTGAGGCTTGTCCCCTCTGCTCACAGCAGTCCGAGGTCTGCCTGTGCCGACTCAGTGCGCGGTCCTGCGGAAGCGGGAGTGGTACACAACCAGATTTTCCTTTCTACCTTTTCTGAAAGTCATTACTTTTAGCAGATTTTAATGATCATAACTTTGCTTTTTATCTTTTCTATAACCTTAGTTTATATTTTCTGTTTATCTATATTTTCCTTTTTCTCCTTTTGACCTTTTATAGTTCTCATATTCTTTTTTTTAATTCACTGGTTTTTAATGAGATAATTGTTCTTCATTATTAAATTTAAACCATAGGAATATATTTCTTTTTTCAGGTAAATATATACTTTAGTTTAATTTATGTATATAAATTATAATTTGTCATAATTAGGCATTGACTGTACCACTATTTTGCAAGTCTGTGCAAATCCAACAAAAGTTTTTAACTAGTAAACTCTAAAGTATCATTTAAATTTATCATTTCTGTATCTGTGACTAGTGAGGAGAGGTGAACTTGGAGCACAAGGAGTAGGGTTAGTGTGGATGGTGTCACATTGAGAGTCAGGAGACCTAGAGTGAAATGTCACTTCTGCTTGCTAGTGGCTGTGTAACGTTGACTGTTACGTGATCATCTGAATTACTATTTTGTTATGTGTGAACTGACATTAATACCACCAGCCTCACGGGTTCCGAGACCATTCAGTAAGACGGTACATGCAGAGCACCTTCCATCATTGCTGACATGTACACGTGACTTGCTGTTTCCCTGTGGCTGTGGCTGCTGTTGGATCGAGTCTGACCTGTCTCTGCAGGTGGAGTGGGAGCCACATACGGTGGGGCCAGCCTTTCCGACTGCGGCATGTCACAACGGGAAAGTACCTGAGTCTCATGGAAGACAAGAACCTTCTCCTCATGGACAAAGAGAAAGCCGATGTGAAGTCTACAGCCTTCACCTTCCGCTCTTCCAAGGTGAGCGGGACAGTAGTGCTGGGTCCCCTGTAGGTAGACCCACCACGTTTCCTTCGGATACTGGTGAGCGAAAAAAAGCAAGTTGTATTTACAAAATTTTATTGTTTTGATTTAAATAAATCTATGTTTGTACATTTCTATATGCTTGATAGGGAAGGACTGCTCTAAGATTTTAACTTTGAATATTTCAGAAAGATCAAAATAGAAGGTGTGTGGGAACATGAGTGCAGGAAAATTTTTGTTTAACTTCAAAAAAGTCCATCTCCGGATTATTTTGCCTGTTACAATAGCCATATTTCTTTGTAACAAAAAATCAATTAAGGAAAAAACCACCACTGCACTGACGTTCTTGGACATGTTTTGTGCACATTTTTTACTTGTTTCTAGATGGATCCTGGAACTGGACATACTGGCTCAAAAGCTGTGAAAATTTTCAAACACTCTGAATAAAAGTTCTTGCCCAAAGCAGTAGCCTTTGAAACATTTTTTCTCCAAATATCTCTCCTAATATGCACTTGGAGAATGGGGGCTATTTCTGGATTTGGGCCATTTTGTAATGTCGTAGCTTATACAGGGAGTACAGAGACCAGGGATCCCAGCACCACTTTTTTCTTTTAAATGCTCACCAGAGGAATGAAGGTATTTTTTCCACTTATTTTTATTTTTTTAGAGAGAGTGGAAAGGAGGGAGGGAGGGGCAGAAGGAGAGAGAGAAACATTGATGTGACAGAGATACATCAACAGGTTGCCTCCCACATGCACCCTGGGGCGGGGATTGGACCTGCAATCCACGTATGTGCCTGTGGCTGGGAATCGAACCAGTGACTCTCCGGTGCACAGGCCAACACTCCAACCACTGAGAAACCTTGGCCAGGGGCCAGCATCACTTTTTAATGAAGTCTTCAGTTTCTCTGAGTCTGGTCTCCTGCCTGGCACTCATGTTTGGGGAACGGCTGTCTTAAGCAGGTTGTTACTGACTTGCTGCCATACACACTCCACTCGTTTAACTCACAGTGAGAACTGCACGTGGTAACGTGGTTGAGGAAAGAGAAGGTGAAACCGAAGGCCAAGAAAACATTTTAATTTGAAAATCACAGTAGAATTCTGATTTTAAAATAATGGCCAATTAGGTAATTATAATTTTTTCCCAGGAGATAGAGTAAGTCTTTATATTGCTTTCTATTATTTGTTTATTATAAGGGTAGATCTTGCCAATCACATATGTATTATATTTCCCCAAGATGGAATTTTTTAGCCTAAAATGCCTCTAAAATATGCTTCTTTGGGGGATTTCCTCCAGTTTTCCTTCTCCCATGCGCCACAAATAGAAACGTGCTGCTATTGAAGTGATGAAATCAGACTCAAATAAGACTGCCAATGAGATCACAAGGATTATGGAACAAATGAAAAAATAGAACAAAATCATTTTTAGGACATAGTTTTTAGTATGCTATTTTTGTTTGGGATTTTTATTCTTGGTTGAAAAATATTTTAAATGCTTTAAAACACACATGAAAATAAGAGTAACGGTTAATTTATGGGCCAAATAATGTGCTAAGTATCTTACATGTATTATCTCATTTAATTCTAGTTCAATCCTATGAAGCTTAGATACTATTTTTTAAAATTTGTTTTTTAATCCTCACCCGAGGATATTTTCCCATTGATTTTTAGAGATAGTGAGAGACAGAGAGAAGCACATCGATTGGTTGCCTCCTGCATGTGTCCCGACCAGGGCCTGGGCTGGGAGGAGCCCGCAACAGAGGTACATGCCCTTGACTGGAATCTAACTTGAGACCCTTCGGTCTGCAGGCGACGCTGTACACACTGAGCCAAACTGACTAGGGCTTAGATACTATTTTTAATCTTAATTATACAGATGAGGAAACTGAAGCAGGTTAGGTGGCTTATCCAAACTTTGAGCCTAAGTAGTAAATCTAAAGCCTTCTTTAGTAACAGAATTAAAGATTTAAAATAATAATAGCAGACAGGGAAGATATGTTGTTTACCTGTGATCAGATGAGCACACCTATTGTAGTTGTTTAGTGATGACTAAATATCTAAAAGATGAAAGTAAAATGAAGAACATGTATATTTTTTATCAAAATAAGTATACAAAATTATCATTGTAGATACATTTTTATTTAATTAGGATTAAATTCAAATGAGATTTCTGCAGTAACCTTTTATCAAGGGGTGCTGATAGTATAATAGGAAATAAGACCAGCTGTGGCTTTACAGAAGATATGGAAATTCAATGATAGTTTTTATGCTGATCCTTTATAAAATATGTTTTTACTTATTTTTTAGAGAGAGAAGAAGGGAGAGGGAGAGATTGATGTGCGAGAAATATCAATTGGCTGCCTCCTGCACGCCCCCTACTACTGCAACCAGGAATGGAACCAGTGACCTCTTGTCCTGGTGCATGGGACAACGCTCAATCGACTGAGCCACACAGGCCAGGCTATGCTGATCCTTTCTAATGGCAGTAGACAAGAGAGCGGGCTCATTGAAACCTCCAGTGGTGAAGATGAGGTGTATCAGTCAGAGCCAATATGAATTACTAAGTTACTCAGTTTGTTACGCAGCTTTGTTTTTTAAGATCATGGGAGCTGGTGAAGTTAGCCAATAGTGCAAGTGGTGTGAAAAGGAAGGACATGATGTGAGAGAGAGACATCGATTGGTTGCCTCCCACATGCGCCCTGACCAGGGCTGGGGATCGAGCCTGCAACCCAGGTACGTGCCCTTGACTGGAATCGAACCCAGGATGTTTCAGTCTGCGGGCTGATGCTCTATCCACTGAGCCAAACCAGCTAGGGCAAGTCTGGGTTTCTGTGTTATAAGATCTGTATATTGCACCGTGTGCCCACACCCAAGTCAAATCTCCTGTCACCATATTTTAGGCCGCCTTCACTTCCCACCCCCTTCTCTCTGGCAGCCACCACACGCTGTTGGTGTCCACGAGAGGGAGCTTGTTGAAGGAGGCAGCATGAAAGTGCAGGGATTTGAAGGAAACAGCTGGTATCAGAGCATCGACTGCTGCTTCAGAGCAGAGGGAGGGTAGCCCAGGGCCCTTAGAAGCCAGTGACTCTGTCGTTCAAGTTGGAAATTGCATTATGGGAAACTGAGTTACAGTAGTTTTGAATAGTTCTAAAGGAAGCATTAACATCCTTGCTAACATAATCACCATTATCATCATCGTTTACATAGCCAAAATAGTAAAAATTCAAGTTATTTTATCCTAGATACTGTGCTGAAATATTTACAGGCATTATCTCATGTTTTCTGATATGTTTGTTAGCTTTACATGCATTATCTCATGTTTTCTGGTATGTTTATTAGCTTTATTTACAGCTGGGAAAACTGAGGCTTAAACAGCTTTGTTTAACTTTTCTAAGATCACAGAGGTAGCAGGTGGCAGAGACTGAACTCAAAACCGGATTTCCTGTCCCACAAACCTATGCTGTTAAGTACAAATAAAGAAAAAAAAATCGGAAAGAATATGAAGCCTGCTCATTTGAATATGAAAAGAATATGAAAACTGTTCATTTTAAGATATCTCATTTGGAGTTTGTCATTGGCCAATATAAAGTTTTTTTTATGGCTAAAATAATTGTCTATCAGTGTGAGTTATTCAAGAATATGTTATTTATTTTTATAATTTTCTACTCAAATCTTCAGTAGTGGTTGAACTGCTAGAATAAAATATTTGACTGTTATTTCAGGGGACTTCAGAGGGCTGAATTTTTCAAGGAACATATTTACAACAAGGCAAAGTTCTTTCAAGATAAAGTCGTATTTTAAAAACTTGCTTATCTCTTTTTCCTCTCTCCTTAGGAAAAATTGGATGCAGGGGTGAGAAAAGAAGTCGATGGCATGGGAACCTCTGAGATCAAGTATGGAGACTCGGTCTGCTACATACAGCATGTGAACACAGGCCTGTGGCTGACTTACCAGGCCGTGGACGTGAAGTCTGTGAGGATGGGAGCCATACAGCGCAAGGTGAGAGGCGAGAGAAACCCCATCTCGCAGTCATCTCTTATGGCCAAAATACACAAACACAGGCAAGAAGAGGTAGCCAACACTCTCAGCCACCTGCTGACGTTCATTCTCGACATGCATGTTCCATTTTGCACTGCTTTCTAGATAGTTTACAATTTTAGTTCTCCTTACTAATCTTAACTCAGTACACCTGTTTAGATGACAACTATCTTCTGAAAGTGTTGAATGAAGGAAGCTGGGCACCAGTGGCTGCCCATTTCATGGTTCCATTTATATATAGAACCCAAGTGACCTTTGCTGTTAGAAGTGAGAAGGTGGGGGCCATTGTGGAGGGCAGGGCAGGAAGCGAGCTCTGGGCGGATGTGGAGGTGCTATGACCTTCTCTTCCTGCTTCGAGTGTTCACAGTGTGCTCACTTTGTGAGAACAATTCAACTGTCCACTTAAGGTTTCTGCACTTGTCTCTTCTCATGTGGTACTCTCATAGTAAGCTTAAAAAAAAACCCAACACCTAACAAGAACTAACAACATAAAATGCAGTTTTAAAGAACCTAGATGCCTTAGGAGCATTGCTGAGCACTATTCATTACCTGTCTGCTCAGCTCACTGTGCCTGCTGAAGCTGAATGGCTTCCTTTGCTGCTTCCCTCAGAGGGTTAGACTTGGAGCAGTCACTGAACATGATGTGTGAAGATATTCTGGGGTTTGTTTTGCTAAACTCAGTACAATAATGGATTAATTCTTTTTTTTTTAAAATATATTTTATTGATTTTTTACAGAGAGGAAGGGAGAGGGATAGAGAGTTAGAAACATCAATGAGAGAGAAACATCGACCAGCTGCCTCCTGCACACCCCCTATCGGGGATGTGCCCGCAACCAAGGTACATGCCCTTGACCGGAATGGAACCTGGGTCCTTTCAGTCCGCAGGCCGACGCTCTATCCACTGAGCCAAACCGGTCAGGGCTGGATTAATTCTTTAAAACAGTAACTAAATGCCTAGGTGGTCCAGGGACCTTTGCATATTATTTTACCTCAAAATAATTTTACTTTAGGGTAAAGCTTTAAAATCATCAACAGTTTACAGTCCCCTCCACCTGTCTTGGTTCTGTGTACTGCCATGGCCTCTTGGAGTGCGCACCTTCCTAGCCCCGGTGGGAAGGGAGGTGTTGGAGTGATGGCGGTCCCTGTGCTTCCCGCAGGCCATCATGCATCACGAAGGCCACATGGACGACGGCATAAACTTGTCCAGGTCCCAGCACGAAGAGTCGCGGACAGCGCGGGTCATCCGGAGCACCGTCTTCCTTTTCAACAGGTTTATAAGGTACATTTACTGTCCTTTGTTGTGGTGGCTATTTGACATTTTACCTCAATTTCCTGATTGAATCTACAAATAAATAATTCTAAAGTATACTATGGTGGTCAGTCTCAAAGCTTTGAGTTTAAAACTCAGAATCTCGGAAAGCTCAACAAATCCACACACTTACATGCCAATAATATGTTTTCCTTCAAAAGCTAGGAAATGCAGCATGATGCCATTTTAAAATTTAATTTTAAATACATTTCTTTCAGGTAATAGGAAAGCATTTAACATATTGTTTCCTGGTGACTAAGTGAATTTTATGAGTTAATATCATTAGAATATCTTTTTAAACAGAATGGCAGTGAGTATCAGCAGCTAACAGCTCCTTCTCCCAAAACCAAACACAATGGAATGAGAAAATGTCAAAATTATCAGTTCGGGACGTTGCATCCTGAAACTCGAGCATCTAGTGCTTTATAATGAAAATCAGTTGGTTTCTAAATATTGGTCCTCTAGGCCCTTCCAGCTTTTCTCTAGATAAATTTCTCTCAGTACTGGGGTTTTAATAAAACATTATGTATACATGAAGGAATATACAGTTTTTATTTGAATATATTAATTATCGCTTGAGTTTCTCCTAGGAAGTAATTGAATGGTTCTATTTCTAATGGCAGATATGTTCCACTTCCTAACCAGGCATTTACTATTGCTTCTCCTTAGTTTGCATATGTAGATACTGTATTTGAGTCATTTGTGAGTTTATTTGGTTCAGTATGATAAGAGGTGAGTTTGACTATGTTATAAATAAATGTATTTGTGATTCAAATATTGTTTGCCTTTTACAGTGGTATTGGGAGAGAGGGTAAAGCTTTAGGAACTAAAATCCTACATAAAATTGTGAGTCACCGATGAGAGCAATGGTGCTGTTCATTTAGGGGCCTGGATGCTCTGGGCAGGAAGGCGAAGGCGCCCCCAGTGGACTTGCCCATCGAGTCGGTCAGCCTGAGCCTGCGGGACCTGATCAGCTACCTGCACCCGCCGGCCGAGCACCTGGAGCACGAGGACAGGCAGAACCGGCTGCGGGCCCTGAAGAACCGGCAGAACCTCTTCCAGGAGGAGGTGAGCTGCTCCCAGCGCAAGTCCTTTCCACTCTCCTCCTGGGAAACCGGTCCTCCGCGGGGACTCTACTTGACATCTTGCACTTAGCGATCAGAGCAGCAGGCGCACTGTCCTGGCTGCAGGAACCAGGCCTTGGAGAGCGGCGATGGTTGTCATTTCTGCCAGTGTCTAGGGAACCCCTCTCCTCACGCCCCTGGCAAAGGACCGTGTGTTACTGTCTCCTCAGCCTTCGCTTCACATTGGTCATTCACTGCACTCTTCTTGCTTCGTGTTACTTATGTGAAAACAGGCTCTTCGGGTGTCTGAGTGAATGCAGGTTCTTCCAGCTCCTGGGAGCTGCCCAGGAGCACAGGGAGCTTGTGTTGGGACAGAGGCTGCCCAGGAGAGGGCCACGTGGCAGAGCGCCAGGCCCCTGCCTGGACACAGCGACCCCGCTGCTTCCTTTTGCTCATATTGAGTTTCGTGTATGGTTTTATTTCATGAAAGTTCTGCCAAAAGAGCGGAAGTGCCGTAATTTACAGACAGAATAGTAGCAGGACCACATGGGAGGGTCCAAATGCCAGGACGGGCTGTCCTAGAGTCTCAGCGAGGGCCCCCAAGCTGGACTATCGATCCGGCCACCAGGCAAGCGGCCCTCATTGCATTCTGTTTGTCACGCAGGTGTTGCTGCTGGTCCTGCGAATAAGTGACCTCAGTTTTCTTAACGACTGAGAGGCTCACCGTCAGCCAGGCTTTCCATTATTGAAACCACTTTGCATTTGGGGCGTGAGCAGACCCGATGTTTCTGACGGTGGTTTCTCTGCCCTCGCAGGGGATGATCAGCCTCGTGCTCCAGTGCGTGGACCGGCTGCACGTCTACAGCAGCGCCGCCCACTTTGCCGAGGTCGCTGGCAGAGAGGCGGGGGAGGCCTGGAAGTCCATTCTGAATTCCCTGTATGAGTTGCTGGGTAAGAAGGGTGGCTGGGTTTTCAAGGCAACTGCGGTGTCTGTTGAAAATGATCCCAGGGCACTCCCAGCCGTTTAGTTCTTGCTTTCTATTGAAGCCGTTAGTTTTTACCCGAGCTGCACTACGTGCAGTGATGCTTGCTGTTGAATCATCTCAGGGTGAAGCGTGGCCAGAGCCGTGGCTTTGCCTCTGGTAAAGGAGAGTGGTCCAGGTGTGTTTGTGGGTGGGGGCCTCTGGGTGATGAGCCTCAGATATTGGCTTTGGATTCTGAAGAGAGTCCCACAGAGCCCCTGTTACCCACGCTCCCTGTCAGGGATCTCCCAGCCCCTTCCTCTCGCCGTTCTGGGACCTGCCTGTGAGGGTCCAGGGACACTTGAGGAACAGTAAGTGACACAGGCCATGGTTTGCACTGCATTCCTCGTGGCCCTGTGTACGCACAGGACACAGGGCTGCATCGCGTGTGGTCCGGGCAATTACTGCAGCTTCTGCTGTCACTTGTCAAGGGTCTGAGATTTTGCCCTTCCCAAGGGTGGCCGTGAGCTTGCAAAACAGGGCATCTGCAGTGGGTGGGAAGCAGTGTCTCTCGCAGCATCCAGACCAGCTTCTGTCTGCCCTGCCCTCCGAGGGGTCAGCCGCCTCCAGTGCTGGCTCCCCTGGACGGCCTTGGTGGCTGCAGTCAGCGCTCAGCGCCGGAAGTGAACTCTCGGACATGGAGCAGTGGCGGGGCTGCCCCTGGAATTGCTCTCGAAGAAGGAGCCTGCTGTTCCACTCATCAGCCCAGATGGTGTCTGTGCCCTTCCTGACCTGCTCGCTCTGGCAGGAGGCCCGGCTCTGTCTGATCCCGGCTTTGACCCACCCTGGGAACCGGGCCATGCCTTGGCCTGCCTGCCTGCCAGACAGGTGCGATTCCAGAGAAGGCAGGGAGCAAGCTCAGGTGTCCACTTCAAATGTCCATCATATAATAGACACACACATTGAAGAGATTCCCATGAGGTGGCCTTTCGGTAGCAGAGCAAACATGGCCTAGAGCCCTTCCCCTCACAGCCACGGGCCTGTGACTCCTTCCCCGTTATGTCCTTCATGAAAAACAGAATTACAAGATCAAGATAGAAACACGAGCTCTCGCTGATCGTGGATGCTGTGGCCCTCCTCCATGTCCAAGTTCATGGACTAAGACGGCTCAAGGCTCCCTGTGTGTCTGTACTTCCTGGGGGTTATCTGGTCACTTCCATGCTCCTTCCTTGTCACCTGTGTTTTTCTAGGTACAGACATCTTGACCACGGACCATCACCTCCTCACAGGTGCACACACACTGCCGTGCCTATGGAGCAGTTGTGATTTTATAACAGGATTGATGACCCTTTCCCCGCCTAGCTCCGTCCATCTTCCCTCCTGTTTGGAATAAGGAAATCCCCCTTTCCACACATGGAGAGCAGCCCCATGCTCACTGCGATCCTCAAGATCTCACAAGCAGGATGTATTTCCCCCAATGGCAGCTCGTATTCCCGAGAAATACTCTAAAAAATACAGTTTCTCCATGCTCTGCATGTACTTATTTTGAGCTTACACACTTACATCACCAAACTGGAATCATACTATCAACATCCTTTTCTGGCCTGTTTTCCTGCCGTCTACACTGTGGGCAGTTTTTTTGCGGGAACTGTGAACTTGCGTCAGTTCTGGTGGCTGTAAGCGCCCACTGAGAGATGCGTCGTCATCACAGTCCACCTCAGTCCGTCCCAGTGTTTGGCTGTTATAAACAGTGACGAACTTCCTTGTATTTCTCTGATACTTCCCCATAACTTTAGAAACTCACTTAAGTGACTTCTTAATTAACTTGCTGAGTTATAATAATTCACACAGTCCGTTTATCTGTGAAACACCCTGTGCACATGCACATGCACACTCATAATTTCAGTAGGAACTGTTTCACTGAGCTAAAGTTTTTGGTGGGAATATATACATTTTGGAGTTTATGGAGATATTAACAGATTTCTAACACATTTCTGTCTCAATGGAGGAATAAGCCCAGCTTGACTAATGTTGCTAACGTATTTCTGAATATGATTTGTAAATCCCACTTTTGTAAAAGAGTTTTGGATTTATATCTGAAAGGGTTCCCTCTGGCTTCCTGTTAGCATTGATGCCACAGCTGACTGTGTGGGAAAGACAGTAGAGGGCGTCCTTAGTTACCAGATGTATTTTGGAAGAATTGAATGACTTTGAAACATGGACAGTTTTCCATTGAGTATACACATTGGGCTGCAGTTTCATAAAAGATGGGTTCTTTGTCAGAGTACAGAGACCATGAGGTTAAGCAAAGTGAGAAGAGGTGGTTTTACTGCCGGGGTTCTCGGGTCCTTGAAATGCATGTGAGCCTCCAAATAGGAAGAAGAGATACAGGGAACAGGTTGCAGAGTGATTGCCCATTGGCCCCCTTTCCCCCATATCATTTAACTCATCTCTCCGCTGCCTGTTACAGTTACTAGTTGTCTCCCATATTCGGTGCTGCATTTATTTTCAGGAAAACTGATGTGCTCTTAACTTCTTCATTATTTGGGTGAGGAAATTGAGCTCTAGAGAAATTCAATAACTTAGTCTCAAGGCTAATTAAAAGCAATGAGTATTCGATCCCAAGTGAGGGAACTCCCAGGACACTGGCTTCTCCATTATCCTTCATTATCAGCTCCCAATGTGAATGTTACCTCCTCAAAGTAATCCCTCCTAATGAGCGCCAGTGGTTCCTTCCCTGCTAACACCTCTGTGCTTTTTCTAACGTCTCCATTGTGTGAATGTAGTTGTGTTGCTTTAGAGATAAAGAAGAGGTATTTTCTTCTTGACCCAACATTTTCGAGCCACTATTACTGGTCGCGTTTGGAACTAGGAAATCACACAAATGAGAAATCTTTCTTTTTTTTCAGCGGCTCTAATTAGAGGAAATCGTAAAAACTGTGCCCAGTTTTCTGGCTCCCTCGACTGGCTGGTCAGCCGACTGGAAAGACTGGAAGCTTCTTCTGGTACGTGTCCCGGTACCTCCTCGGATGGGATATAATTCTCCTACTTTATGTCCTTTAAGACATGAAAACACACTCGGAGGTTCAGCGCAATAGAAATGGTTTCCTTTCGGTAGGCTACGTGTTTACTGACTGATGACAGTGTCAGTATTGTTTTGGTTATTTCTGAAAAGCAGTCTGACCTTACCTTGTTCATTTGCATTTATAAAGAGTGAGCCCTGAAAGCGCCCTGGGACCAGATCCCGCCCCTCCCCACTCAATAACTGCTCACTTACGGACAAGGGGAGACGTTGATCGTTGTAGACAAGTCACTCTTATATTTTCTCGTTCTTTTTTATCTTAGGTATTCTTGAAGTTTTGCACTGTGTGTTAGTAGAAAGTCCAGAAGCTCTAAATATTATCAAAGAAGGGCATATTAAATCCATTATTTCACTTTTAGACAAGCATGGAAGAAATCACAAGGTAAGGGAGCCCTGTAATGGCCATAAATGAATTCGGGAATCATTTTAAATATATTTTTAAAATGAGATAACTTAAAAAAGGTGTGTCAGATGTTTTATTACATAGTCAGGTAATATCGTTCAGTGTTTATTCTCAGCGTCAGTGGGAGAAGAGCGTTCTCAGATGTGTATGGAGGACGATGGTTAGGTGACTGTCCACAGCACGGTCCTGTTGACGTGACTGGAGGAAATGTGTTTCCGTCGGTGCCATGTGCTGCTGACACTTGGTCTGAAAGGGACTGGAGTCCGCTGACAGCGATTTCTCTGCGCAGGTTCTGGACGTCTTGTGCTCTCTCTGCGTTTGCCACGGGGTGGCAGTCCGTTCCAACCAGCATCTCATCTGTGACAATCTCCTGCCCGGAAGGGACCTGTTACTGCAGACACGCCTTGTGAACCACGTCAGCAGGTCTGTTCAGACAGACAGTGTCTCCAGATTGGTGGCCCACCCAAGGAATTCATGTGCTAGCTCTGTAGCTGAGACCTCTGGTGGTTTCTTCATTTCACTGGGTTTAAAAATCGATTTCCTTAGTTAATAGTATATAGGAATGTTTTCTACCGATCAGATGGCATAATAAGAATAGATGATCTGAGCGAAATACGCATTTATCACAGGCCAACGTTGTGTTGCTGGGTTACCACTGACTCTCGGGAGCAGGCTAACAGCAATAGAGGAAATAGCTGGACAGAATACTACTTTATGTCTTAACATACAACTAAAAGCACTGCCCTTCGATACCAGCTTTGAAGTGCTCACCAAGTATAATCAAAATATTGAATTAGAATGTCCAAAATGTACTAATTTCCACAAATAACCAATAAAACTAAATTTGTAGGTAGATCTACCTTCCAAGGTATCGAGCATTGAGTGCTGGGTGCCAGCACTATGCTGAGCGCTTCCCCTGCACTCTGCCCTGTCTGTGTGTGTTCCAGGTGCTGGCACCCACAATTTATAGACGCATGAAAATATGGGAACTGGACAGGAACTCAGGTCTCACTCCAGAGACTGAGTTTGTCCTTATTCAAAATAGTAACAGTGATAATAATGAAAATACATCTTATAGTTAAGGTATTATCTGTGGTACAGTCAGAACTGTGATGCTGTGAATCTAGCCACTCCAGGGAATACTACTTCACTGTTTTAAACAAAAATGTGGGGATTTGGTGTTTGACTTCATACTGTGTTTTTAAAACAGGATTGATTTAAGATGTCCTTCATGGTTCTCTGTAGAATAGACTTACTGTTAATGAGGGTGCTTCCTGAGACCTTCTCTGACCCCTGGTGGTAACATAGGGCACAAGACCCCTCCTGAAATGCAGTTAAATACAGCTAACTAGCAATTCCTCGGTTCCCAGGGAGGCACAGAGAACAACAAAGCTGGTTGGTCACCTTGTTCCTTCTCGAACAGCGTGGCCTGCCTCAGCCTCGTACCGCAGCTAACACAGAGCTTAGGAAGATGTCTCCATGTCCTGGGTTAATACAGCTCAGCTAATTCTAAAGGTCAGCTACACTGCGCAGCTCATCTTAAACATGGTTAATGAAATAAAACATGCTGATGAGCAGTTGAGACTAATGTTAGCCCCTGAGTGACGTTGCCAGGGACCCTGGCAGCAAGCGCCGTTCTCTGAGCCTTAGCCGGGAGGCGGGCGTCGCTGTGCGTCTCCGTGACTGTCTTGGTGATGGTGCAGCAGTTAAGGAAATGTGTGTTTAGCATCTTTGAAGAGCAGGATGAATGTTCGGAATAGTGAGACGTCAATTTAGACAGTGAAAGGTTGGCTCAGATTTTCTCGTGTGTATTCTCTCTCATACAGCATGAGGCCTAACATTTTCCTGGGCGTCAGCGAAGGCTCTGCGCAGTATAAGAAGTGGTACTATGAGCTGATGGTGGACCACACAGAGCCCTTCGTGACGGCCGAAGCCACCCACCTGCGCGTGGGCTGGGCGTCCACGGAAGGGTACTCTCCCTACCCCGGAGGGGGCGAGGAGTGGGGCGGGAACGGCGTTGGAGACGACCTCTTTTCCTATGGATTTGACGGCCTGCACCTCTGGGCAGGTGAGTGCTGTCCGTTTGCTTTCACAGCGTTTTGGAAGGAAACCTTTGCCCTTGCTGCCCATTTCTGAAAGCAATTGATGCTTCTATTTGATCCATTTATTATTCAGAACTTTAACATTGAAATGATGAATGAGAGTGGTAAGTAAAAGCAAAATCACTAGGGGAAGAAGAAAACTTAGAATTATAGTACATTTTCGAAGGACTATATTGCTTATGAGCTTGCGTTGATTAAGTCCCCGCCCTTTGTACACACCGCCCGTCGCTACTACCGATTGGACGGTTTAGTGAGGCCCTCGGATCGGCCCCGCCGGGGTCGGCCCATGGCCCTGGTGGAGCGCTGAGAAGACGGTCGAACTTGACTATCTAGAGGAAGTAAAAGTTGTAACAAGGTTTCCGTAGGTGAACCTGCGGAAGGATCATTATATATAAAAAAAAAAAAAAAAGAAAAAAAGAAAAATGTACAGTCATCCCCCTTATCCACTGGGGATGTGTTCATGACTCTCAGTGGATGCCTGAAACCACGGATAGTACTGAACCCCTATATAAACTATATTTCTTCTATACAAGCAACCTTTTCACTTAAAGGAAGCACTTTGTGGCTTCTCTGTGGCAGATCCGAATTGCCAGCCTCCCTGCTCTTGCGCTTTGGGGCCCTGATCAAGTAAATAAGGGTGATGTGGCCACAAGCGCTGCCATATCACCACAGTTGTCAAGGAGACGGCTGGTGACTAATGGCGGGGAGTGCATACAGCATAGAGACGCTGGACACAGGGATGGTTTTTGTCCTGGTTGGGAAAGAGTGGATGGCTTGGGATTTTATCACGGTGCTCAGAGTAGCACATTATTTAAAACTTACGATTGTTTATCTCTGGAATTTTCCATTTATTTTAAGGCACTGGTTTACCCTTTTTAACTGAAACTATGGAAAGTGGAATTTAAGACAAAGGGAGATTTCTGTATTTAAAAAGTAGCCTTTTGATTCATGAATCAATTGCAAAAAACTTATTTGTTTCCTGCTTATTTTGATTGGTATGTGGAAGCTTTAGCTTCCCATATAAAAAGGACCAAACACAATCCCTGGAAAATGGTTGGAAAAAATAAATTAAGGTCACTTCCTGGTAGATAATTCAACCTCAGGGATCTGTGATTTACAACCTGGATTGTGAGGAATTTGTTTATGTCACATGGCACTTTGTTTCAGAGATGTGGGGCTGTTTACAAATAAGTATATAGTTCATTTCACCAGCTACCAAGTCTCAGCTTTGCTGGTTGAGTATAAATTAACAATATTAGTCTGTTCTCTAATTTATGAAAAGGATATGCTTTGGTTGGCATCATTTAAAAGTTTATCTCTTGATTATGTAGAAGTTCTATTTCATAACATGGCATAGCTTCTGAAAAAAAAAAAGCAACACTTTTTTGACAAAGGATTTAAGGTATAATATTATATGTGTCCCAGCTTCTATTCTGTTCTCGTGCTGTGCACTGATATGTCACTGCCGCTCAGACTCTGCCTTCAGCCCTGAAGGTGATTCTCTGAGATAAACACACGTTCCCTTCCTTCGTGTCCTTACAGGCTGTATCGCCAGCACCGTGAGCTCGCCAAACCAGCACCTGCTGAGGACCGATGACGTCATCAGCTGCTGTTTAGATCTAAGTGCCCCAAGCATCTCATTCCGAATTAATGGACAGCCTGTTCAGGGGATGTTTGAGAACTTCAACATCGATGGCCTCTTCTTTCCCGTTGTTAGTTTCTCTGCAGGAATCAAGTTAGTATGTCGGTGTTTGTGGTCTGTTTCCCTCCTGCTCACACTTCCACAGGACACTGCCCTGCTGTCACCTGCTCCCCTAGCCTTTGCCACTCAGGGTCATCCCTCCCATGGCACCTGCCTGTTCTTACAGGAAGGGGCTCGAGTCACCCCAGAGGTGATCTGGGGAGGCTGGGGCTTGTCCACATAGCCATGCACTAACTCCCCCAAACCAGTGTCCTGAAATACTTCAAGTCGATTTTTTTTATTTCCTAAGGGGAAATGGACAACATGGTGTAAAAAATACCACTTAATTACCTTCTATTTAGTTTCATTAGTTTTCTTTAGTAAGTTTTTTTGGTTTTGACTAAGGATAAGAAATTAGGTTACATTTTTTCTTCAGCAAATGGAAATATCATGTATGTCCTTTTCAGGGTACGCTTTCTGCTTGGGGGGAGACACGGAGAATTTAAATTCCTTCCCCCACCGGGCTATGCTCCTTGTTATGAAGCTGTGCTGCCAAAAGAAAAGCTGAAAGTGGAACACAGCCGCGAGTACAAGCAGGAGAGAACTTACACCCGGGACCTGCTGGGCCCCACAGTTGCCCTGACCCAAGCCGCCTTCACGCCGGTCCCCGTGGACACCAGCCAGGTACCCGCCAGCCTGCAGGCACCGTCCGTGCTGCGGTCATTCTGATGTGCAGGGCTCTCAGCTCCCGACTGCCACCCACAGGAATGCATGTTTTCAGTAACATGATTTATATGTGCGATTGAAGCAAGTTTCATAACATAATGCTGAACTTTACCATGTCGACTTACCTATTTTCTCTTCTACTCGGTTTTATTTTTATGGGTGGTCCTAAGCCATTACGTTGCTTTTATAACACAGTGAAGGTCACAGCCTTAGGTAGCCCATACTAACTTTAGAGAGCACTTCCTACGTAGGGTAGACGTGGAGTTTTTGTTTCTTCTCCCATCTAGATACACTTACTATTTTGAAACGACTTAACCAACATTTATCTTGGGTAGAGATTGAGGTCATGGGCTCTAGAGTCGAAATTCCTGGGATCCGATGCTACTCTGGGACCTTGAGGACCTGGGTAACCCCCACTGCTCTGGGGAGAGGAGGCGGTGAGAGCTGCTCCCTGCAGACCCTGCCTCATCTGGGCACGACCAGACACTGCTCTGCTTGTTGAGGGATTAGTTGTGGGTGACACAACACCTCACCTTGAAAATCATTTTGTATTTTTTATAGAAAAGTTATTAAACTTACTCTTTATAAAGATTCTATTTGGAAATCACTGACAATACAGAGGTAAGAAGAAATAGATCACTGCAGTCAGATACCTACTGGCTCACGGAGCCAGTGCACCGTCTGGGCAGAGTGGCCATCGCCCAGTCTGTGGATGAGGCCACGACGGGGTGAGGACTTTGTGTGATTGTCCTAAATAACGCAGGCTCTGCTCGGCAGCCTACGCCCATCCAGCAAGGCGTCTTTCTTTGTGGCAGTTGTCCCGACCAAACTCTATCTTCTTTCTTCCTAACTGTGGTTCATAAACTAGAAACCTCAGTTGCCACCCTCCCAAAAAAGGTCCCAAAATTTCCCTAAAGAGTGTTTAGATAACTAGTTATATTTTTACAACTAGGTTATAATAGATGGCTTAGAACCTAGTTATTTTAATGGTTTATGAGGCAGTTCTATTTAGTCCAGTTGCAGGGAGAACAATTAGCGTTGTGTCGTATTGTATTTTTTCTAATGTGTGCTTTCTTTTCTTTTCTTCAATTTTAGATCGTGTTGCCCCCCCACCTGGAGAGGATAAGAGAAAAGCTGGCAGAGAACATCCACGAGCTCTGGGTTATGAATAAAATTGAACTTGGCTGGCAGTATGGCCCGGTATGGAGTTTTCCATTTATCTACAGATTCCGTTAATGCAACTTTCTGAACGCAACGTTTTCTCGCTCATCTTGCTGTGTGGTGATGTGAATGAATGGACTGATGTTTTTCCTACACATCAGTTTGGGGAGGGAGCACCGTGATGGGCGGGCTGACTGAAGCATGGCTCAGTTGCCTTGACCGTGGACGAGTTACCCATCTTTAAGCTGCAGGTTACATTTCCAATCAAGGTGAACACAGGCGGACAGTAGGCGTTGCTTTCAAAGGTTCTGAGAGAGCCCAGTGTGGGTGGAAGGGCTTTCGTGTGGCATCTGCAGAGCTTGGATGTTCCCACGGAGCAGTCTGTTCCCCGACAGCACACACCTGTCACCGAGGTCCCCACGGGAGCAAAGGCCTGTGTAACGTAGGTCCCCAGGAAGACTAATATTTAATTACCAGTGCAGTGATCCAGGCCAGCCTTCTCATTGATCCATCCCTAAAGTCTTTGATTTAGTGTAGTCTGATTTCTAGCCTACGCTGTCAAGGATTAATATATAAAAAACCCTGTATAATGCTAATCGATCTTGCTAAGGTGGTGGGGTGATTCGTGACAGTGGGAAGGAGCGTGTGTGGGTGAGATGTAGGGCTGGGACCCCCGGAAGAGTTTATGTCAGGTTCATGGGGTCTCTGACCAGTGTGGCTCTAAACACGGAAAAATGATTCCACATTAAAGCGGAGTCGCCACTACACTCAGTAAGGATTTGGGCCTCCCGTCTGCTTCCCCCTCACGCCCCACTGCTGATTGGAGGGCCGCTGCCGGTGTCTGACTGGGGGACTGACCCATGCACCTCCTGTCCTGTTTCAGGTCAGAGATGACAACAAGAGGCAGCACCCGTGTCTGGTGGAGTTCTCCAAGCTGCCGGAGCAGGAGCGCAACTACAACCTGCAGATGTCGCTCGAGACCCTGAAGTGAGTTCTTGGCTTCCCCTCCCACGCATCCTCCCTGGAAGGGTTGAGTGTTAAGTCCTTTCATTCCGGCTGGAACTAAACCTATTGATTGACAAAGGTCAAGCAGGTTGATAACCTTGGGGAAAAGGCAATGCTGGTGGGAATGGAAATCGTTACCATTTCTATTGACATTGGCCAACCTGGTTAAACTTGAAAGTGTATGTGCCCTCTGATCCAGTAACTCCGCATCTAGGGGTCGTTCCTATAGACGAAGGACACAGTGCATGTGTTGCATGCGTGAGGCTGTTCCTGGCAGCACTGTTTGTATAACCAAAGGCTGTGAGCAGAGCATTGGGTAAAGCCATCATGACATGTCCAGCTAATGGACCCTTTCAAAGCTGTGAAAATAAACCAGCTTTAAGAAAGGACAGGATTTCAAAGTGAAATGTAAAGTCAAGATAGCAGATTGCAGAGACTGT